GTTCAACACAATTAAAAATCAATAACATCTCCCTATTTCCTCATACTAAAACATATTTAATCATTACTTTACCCTTGTGCAGGAAAAGTGTATATAGATTTAAGCTATAGTGTAATATATTTTGTCCTCTGAGGATTGGAAGGCTGAAGCAGGAGGATCATGAGTTCAAAGCCAGCCTCATCAAAGGTGAGGCGCTAAACAACTCAATGAGACCCTGTCTCTAAATAAAATACAAAATAAGGCTGGGGATGTGGCTCAGTGGTTGAGTGCACTTGAGTTCAATCCCTGGTACCCTCCCACCCCCCAAAAAAATCCTTCCTGCAGAATAATGGAAAGAATATTAGGGGAAGCTTGGGCTCTACACTGTGTCAACTGTGTGTATTTATGAAAATCATCAGTTCTTATGAAGATCAATATCATATCCAACCTGAATGTAGTAATAATAGTACACTTACTACAGACCTTGTAGGTGACAAAATGATTCCAAGTTTTATGTATGAATTAAAAATCTTTTAACAACTCTATAAAGCAAGTATCAATATTGTTATTGTCTTCACTATATAGATTAGGAAGCAGCCCTGTGGTGGGGAGGGTATTTAGGTAATCTGCACAGAAAAGCTTAGCTGGTGAGCAATGGGGGCAGTCTGCTTTCAGAACTCCCATTGTGCCACCTGCCCCTTCACAATACCCACTCTACAGGATTGCAACAGGGTCAAAGTAAAGAATATATGGTAAATGTAGTATATATTTTATACTTTGTGTTTTCAGTACAGAAGGTGACAATGATTGTATGCTACAAAAGCACACAGAAAAAATAAAAGTATGTTTCTCCTCTAGGAAAAAAAATATTCCCAGGTCTTATAGATTTAACCATGTACAAAGAGGCATGATCCCAAAATCTTAATGCTAATAGATAATAGAAAAACGATGTCAATAGTTCTTGAACCTCAGGTGCCTTGATTCACTTTGATGTTTGACAAATACAGTTCCCCAGCTCATTTCTTCTAAATTCTGATTCACTTCAGGTAGAGCAGAAACCAGGAATATTTTTATAACAAGCTTTGCAAGAGATTTTGATGCAAGTAACTGACAGAGAGTTTTGAGAAATAGTGGCTTATGTTAAAGCTTTGTATTATGAGATGAATTCTGTCTCCAGCAAAATTATATATCAAATCTGTAAACCCAGTACCAAATACAGAATGAGGCTGTATTTGGAGGCCCTTTAAAGAAGCGATGAAATTAAAATGGAGCCATGAGGTAGCTCTGATCCAATATGACTAGTGTTCTTTTAAGAAAAGATGATGACACAGACATGCACAGAGACAACCATGTGAGGATACCACCATCTTCAAATCAAGGATAGAGGTCTCAGAGAAAACCAAACTTTCAGACACCTTGGACCTCCAGCCTCCAGGATTGTGAGAAAATAAATTTCTGTTTTTAAGTCACTTAGTCTGTGGGATTTTGTTATGGCAGCCCTAGCTAACCACCATAATAAACACCATTTTGAAGGGGAAATAATAGCTGATATGGTAATTTGATAATTAAAGCCACTAAATGTTTTTCATTAAAGAAGAAAGAATCAGTTGTATTAAAATAACTAAAATAATTTCAGGATTATTTTGGTTTGTCTTTCTATTCCTAGGCTAATTGCTAAGTAGCCAAGACAGATTAAAAAGAAGGCAAATGCCACTGAAATATTTGTTCCACAGGTAAAGTTCTCTACCTCTACACCATTTCTCTGGGCTCCATAATGTACTCATAGGCCAGAAAGATTAGATAATATTATTACTACATGTTCATTCTGTTATAAAAATGTTCATTTCATTAATTCACATCTACCTCTATCTACTATCTACCTATCTATAGATCTATTCCTATCCATATATCTATCCAGCCATTTAATCAATATTGATTGTATACCTGCCATGTACTCAATAAAAACCTATATCTTAATTCTGGACCAAAAAATGCCTCCAAAAGTTCTAGATGTGAACATTCAAGAAGTTATAAATTCAAATACCCTTTAGAATGCATTCAGATGGTTTTCCAAATCTTCCAATAGTTTAAGAAAATGCATACATTTGGATTTTTTTGCACAAGCACTACAGGAGTCAGACAGAACATAGCTAGTACTTAGACACCTACACATGCCTAGAGGCTATTTGTTTGCAACCTCTGCTCTAGACTTCCAAAAGTGTCAAGTTGTTCGTTATTTGGTATGTTCAACCTGTTATTTCTGGTGATTTCTCAACAAAAACAACTTGACTTTCAAAACATATTCTTCTTAAATTGGCCATTTAATGACACTTGAGAACTACTGAGTGTCTTCTCCTCTGTGGTATGGCATACTCGAGGCAGGGCAAAGTCTTCATTAAGGAAAATGTGGTAGAGCTCTGTTGTCATCTTCACCATAACTTTGTCTCACAGCTGCTCAAGACTACAAGGGCAGGGACCACTTTTTGTCATCTTTATTAGCTCACCAATCACTACCTGCCATTGTTCTCTATAGTGTCATGCACAATAAATATTTACTGAACTGAATTTGAATCCAAATTTTTCAATTCTGATTTTAAATCTGGAGTGGAAATTGTTGCTAAAATACTACCCATTTAATAAAAAATTTTTTAAATCTTAAAGGTCAAGTCTATAGGAAACCAAAATAGCTAGCTATTTGAGACCATTTATCCAGAAAACTCACACATGAAATGATACAGAGATAACCTAAGCAATTACTGTATCTACATCCAAGTCTTGTCATGCTCTCATTCTGTTTTATTCTAGACAGATAAGATAGGCATAATGTAATAAGGAAAGCACTCACATTTTTAATGACTTACTTGATGTTTTGTCTCAGACTTAATATTGTACTAGTTAGAATTACTTTTGTAACAGTAAACCATGATTTATGGAACTAATTTCTGTAGCTTAGCAATCAGTATTTACATTAAGAGAAAGCTAGCATTTTTTCTTAATGGAATGAACAATTCACCTATGTTCTTAAAATACAGAAAGTACCACTGACAAATAAATAACAAAACAACTAAAAAAAATCCTTCCTGAAATAATTTCTAAAATACCTTAATTTTAAGAAGTTCTATTTAAATTAAAAATTATTTTAAAATATAGAGAATTCCAAGAAGGGTTATACCATCATACAAAAAGCATGCAAAAAATATCATTACCTAAACACCACCTGTAATTTTCATCCTTCCCATTTATCCTGAAGCTCATAAAGTTTGTAGTTAAAAGTACTTGTAAAAAGAATCTCCTTAAGAAGAATGATGAGACTCCTGAATGCTAACATATTGTAGGTGATAATGAAGTCTTATTTTATTCAACATAAACAATAAGATGCAAGCATTTTTTTTTCATTTCACAGATACCTTTGGATTTGAGACACCTATCTGCATAACTAAACTCAAAATCTATTCTATATTAGTAACACCCCTAGTGACTCTTTTTCTATTATAATTTTTTTCCAAAAAAGTAAATCCTCTGGGTTAACTGTATTTTGGCTTTTTCAGGTCTTCATCTTTTCTCCAACAGACATCTAAAACCTCTTCTACTTTGACAAATTTCTCTGCCCCACTGAACACACATACAGTTGGCTAAACTCCTTTTCCAAAGTAATTAACACATCTGGAAGTTTTATGTTATAAATTTCACAGTGTAATATGAGTCTTCACAGAACTGTCTTCAAATACCAAGAAACCAACCATGTTATAACCGAAAACCCAGCTGCTGAAACTTCTATAAAATGTTCTAATTTTGTGGTTGGTTTAAGTCTCTCTTTGGTTCCCTGTAAAATCCAAGCAAATTCTTAACAAGTGGCTTCTCTTTTCAATTTAAATTACTGCAATTCTCAGAAAGAACCTAAAAGTTTCATCTGGAGTAAGTCAAGTGATGTAATTGGGCATTATAAATTTTTTCTTTGAAAAGAAATAAAATCAATAGTTGGTTACAAGAACCCAGTTAAATTTCCTGCCTTGTTGTAACTGTCCTTCAAACTGAATGTTCTCACACCTCTTTCAAGAACTATATGGCTCAATAAATGATTTTTGTTCAGGTTAAAATGTGAAAGAATAGTAAGGATAACACATTTCTTAATTGAACTTTCAGAATTTTTTTGCTTCAATTTGGATTTCTGGAGAAAATAAAGCTTTGTTATTGCAACAAACAGAGATAATATTAAAGGCTAATGAAGTCAAAGAACATCAAAGTCATTAGAGAATTCAAAGCACACCTTTGGATAGCTATGAGGATTAAGTGAGGTAATATACTTGACAGCCCCTGCACTTAGTAAGAACCTGGACCTCAATGACCTAGTCTAACACTCTCATTTTGCAGATAAGAGAACACAGACAAGAAAGTCAAACTCTTACCATACACACATGGAAGGATTTACAAAAAGTGTAAGGAAAACAACTGACTTGAGGTGTAATCAAAACATGTTATCTGGTATTATGCTCTTTTAGTTACTCAAAAGACACAAAATAATTTGAATCCTCATCTCAAGGAAATTTCCTAATTTTCCACTATGAATAGCTCTATTCTATTCCTGATGATTTTATGTCCTGGTTCTAAAAATAAAACTAAGTTGAGGAAAGGCATATCCTTAATCATTGCACTTCCAGTATCCATTACAAAAACATTTACTTAAAATTATTCCAGAATTTGACAACTTAATGTGATGGAAGCTGAAACCACAACACTTTAACAAATTCCCTCCACAGCCCAAGATTTCTCTTTGCTGCATCCCTTCCCCTCCTACAGTGGCTAGTCAGTGACCGTTTTCAGCACCAAGGGAATCTCTCAAAGTCAACCAAGCTACTTCTGGTCAGACCTAAGGAGACTAGAAATCCTCGTCAATATTTATCTTCACAGATTTTTGTACCTTTATCTTTTGTATTCCTGGAACTCAAATGAAACACCAGGTTGGAAAGGCAGGGTCCAACCTAGAGTGGCTTAGCTCTCCAATTGCACCTGTTACACTTTACCTGTTTGCAAGACCACGGTTCTCTCTTCTCCATCCAGAGAAACAATCCTGAAGTTATAGATGGTTCCTGCTTGTAAATCCTTGGGGGTACACCCATAGGTAGTGTTGTCTATCTGAATGGGGTGGCACCATGAAGGCCCGGAGGTGTCACCGCTATAGATGAGGCTAAAGTTACATGGTGACCCTAAAGTTCTCCACTGCATAGACACCGACAAGCTGGAGACCCTGGACTCCGTCAGGGTGAAGTTACATCTCACTGACTCTGCCAGTCCAGTCTGCAAAGGAATCAGAGACCACAGTTTAAACTGGCAGTCCGAACCACCAGGGAGATGGGTTCACAGTGAGACTCCCCAAGTCGTCTCTATTTGCGCCCCTCACGCCCAGCCTCAGCCTGTGCCTTTGCCCTTCAGCCCGGGTGAGGGGTCAAAGGGAAAGCAAATGGCAACTTTCTCCCTAGTTTGCCCTCCCTGGGAGCAGATGGAGAGAGAAGGTGGCTTTTTTCCTTTGACAGCAGGATGAGATGTCGCTTTGGGAGTTTCCGAAGAGGATTGCTCTTCCCAGGATAGAAGAAGAAATTTTGCCACCTTTCCTTCAAAGCACCGCCTAGGAGAGCGGAAAGTAGAGTTTGGTTCACGGAGAGGGATGCATTAGCGGCCGACCCCTTTTGGGGCCACTCACCTGCAGTAAACTCAGTGTAATCCACAAGGTCAGTCGGGTTCCATGGTTCAGCATTGCGCTCAGGGGTTAAGACCCGGATTAAACCCAGGGGGCTGGACGCGGAGCCGCCCGAGGGCAGGCGTGGGAGTCACTTGTTGCGCGCGCTCAGCGCGCCCCGCGGGCGCAGCGCGCTTCGCTCCGGACGGGAGACAGACAAGGGCCACCGCTGCTGCTCCTTCTGCTGCCGCCCGGGGCGGGCTGCGGACGCGACAGTCGGCGGGGGCAGGCAGCGCACAGCCCTTCCCACGCTGCCATTCTGACCTGCGCTGCCTCGCCCCGAGCCCAGTCCGCGGACTTCCGCAATCAAAAGGCAATTTCCTTGTCTCCCGGCAAAGGAACAATGCGCTGGAGAGGGAGGGAGCCCCGAGGAGCCAACGCCTGAGGCTGCCAAGGGGGCCTGAGGCGAGCCAAGCTGCCCCCGCGCCCTGTGCCTTCCCGGCCAAGGGCCCGGTCTGGGTCCGCGGGGCTCTGCCTTCTCCTCCTTCTGGACTTTCACTTTTCCCCACCCTGTGGCCCACAACCCGGTTGTCTTAGCCACAATTAGTGCTTGCTCCCTCTCACTTTTCAGGCCCCCACCTCCTCCCCTTCCTCCCTCCACACCCCTCCCTATCTTCCTTCCTATCTTTCTCATCTGCTTTCTCCAGAGCCTCTTTTCCCAGGATTAAACTTGACCGCAGCACATTTCCCTAGGTCGCCTACACTCTTTCCTGAAGCCTTTTATTAGAGTGCTTTTGCCCTTCTCACCTCAAAGCATTCGTTTGTCATGGACGCATCCCTTTGACCCCAGCAAGAGAAAAAGACCCCAAAACAGAGCCCTTCCATTGTCAACTTGACCTTCATTCTTTCTCCCTTCACTTTCCCCTTTCTTTTGTGTAGAACTGTGTGCTCTGTAAGTCTCATGCAAATAGTGCTTACCAGCAACAAATAAATCACCACCAATTCAACCCACAGAGAAGTGGTTCATCACTGACCATCCAGTAGTGAAAAGCCATTTCATCCAAGTTGTACAACCAATAGAAGAAAGCAATGTAAACTTTTTCTTTTCTTTTCTTCCTCTTTTTTTTTTTTTTTTGCAGAAAATACTATTGATGGCTCAGCTCTCCACGAATTTACAAAGAAATGGTATTTACTATTTTCAACACTAATTTTATGATCTTTAGTAAACTGCCTCATACCCAAATAATTATATATTTTAAATTAGATTTTAGAAAAGCTCTCAATACCCAAAGAACTAAAATATTTCACTGTGCACAGATGATAATAGCAAGATATTGCAACAACTTTTATAATTATGATTTTTTTTTGATGAGCCATACCTAACAAGAGATGATGAACTTCCACATTTTAATTTTCAGATCTGTGGGAAGGATGACATATTCCCTTCTTTCTCAGATGGATTATACATAGAGCTGTGTTTTTGGCTACTATATCTACTGCACCTGCTTTGAAGAAAAATAGGAAGCAAGCAAAAAAAAAAAAAAAAAAGAAAATTGTTTCAATTCCTCTAGAAAACATGTTTTTCAAAAATCTCAATGGATTTTTGAAAACCTTTCTTTCTTAGATTCTAGGGCTTTAATCTGCAGCCAGAACAGAGATCTCAAATCTTCTTTTCAGGTTAGCAAAGACTCAAAAAAGATAAAACCTAAAGCATCTGCATATTTCTGGGGAAAAAAGAATCTTTCCTATTTCTCTACTAGGTCACTTGTCTTATCAAAGAGCTTTTTAGTTCGTATTTTGCCCCCACGTCCAAAGCTTTGCACAGCCTGGTATACCTTTCAGCCTGTCAGAGACAGCCCTCTCTCTCCTCTGTTAAATACTGCAAGCTTTTTTTTTTTTTTAAATATAGTTTTAGTTGTCAGTGGACCTTTATTTTATTTATTGATACACAGAGCTGAGAAAATCGAACCCAGTGCCTCACACATTCTAGGCAAGCACTCTGCCACTGAGCCACAATCCCAGCCCACTACAAACTTTATTACAAGCTCCAGCTACCTTTAACTTTTATTTATTTATTTTTATTGGTTGTTCAAACATTACAAAGCTCATGACATATCATCTTTCATACATTTGATTCAAGTGGGTTATGAACTCCCATTTTTACCCCAAATACAAATTGCAGAATCGCATCGGTTACACATTCACATTTTTACATAATGCCATATTAGTGACTGTTGTATTCTGCTACCTTTCCTATCCCCTACTATCCCCCCTCCCCTCCCCTTCCATCTTCCCTCTCTACCTCATCTGCTGTTGTTCAATTCTCTCCCTTGTTTTTCCCCCCCTTTCCCCTCACAACCTCTTATATGTAATTTTGTGTAACATTGAGGGTCTCCTTCCATTTCCATACATTTTCCCTTCTCTCTCCCTTACCTTCAACTTTTAGAGGAGTCTTTTTTTCAGCTTTACTTCTTTTGAAATTAGCTTTTTCTTGTCTCACTTTATTCTGAAAGCAATGAGGCTACCTCCACTGTAGAATCAGGATAATACTCTAAAAACTTTACATAGCTATTATGAATAAGTAAGATCATAAATGTTGCAAACTTGAATGTGTTGCACATATGTCAGCTTGTTTAGTAATATATCACATCCAAATTACATTTCTTTGCTGTGTTTTAAATTCATTCATTACGAAGGTCCTCCTTACTAACTTTTGCTGCTTGTCCTTCTCTTTGTCTTTTCCATTGGGGTTTCAAATTTTTCTTATAGATTGGTTCTCAGATTTGGAGTCATCTCACTTAAATACACTAAATATCCTTCTGTTTTCTGTGGAAATCTCAAACAAATCCCAAGCTTTCCTGAACATATATTTTTAACATTATATGTTACCATCATACTGCACCCAATCATTTAATTTTTGAGCAACTTCCAACATAATATCTAATGTTCATGTGTAATATGTCAAAATATACTCTACTGCCATGTATATCTAAAAAGAACAAATAAAAAAATAAAAGAAAAAATTTAATAATCCTTCTTTACAATGCATGCAAATGTTCCAAAAATAAAAAAATGGATGAGGACCAATCAAACAGGGCAATTTTTCTTAATGTCCTCTTAATAACAGTTTAGATGCTTCCAAATTAACAGTGACCTGTCAATAATGCCCTTGGGAACATGTATAAGAAAATAAGCAAGTGATTTCTTTAAATACAGTTACTTTTTTTTTCAGTCTATCAAAGAGGGGCATATACCATTTGATTCTTGGGGTTTTTTTTTAAAATTTATTTTAATATTGTCCATATACATGAAGAATCATAGCAGTACATGAAGGAAAGGACCAATAGTTTTAAACATTTCTTTTCCAAATGCATCAACTACTAGTTTGCTTTTTTTTAAAATCTTAAAACTGAAAGAGGGCTCCCAAATAATTAGTGGGCCCTAAATAACTCATAATCCTTAGCACAATATGGGACAAAAGGGAAGTTTAAATTTAGGCTTTTACATTTATTATGTCTTTCCTTTTAAAATCACACAGGCAGTATTAATATGCAGAATCAGAGAGAATGGTAATAGATTCAAGGAAGTATTGGAAAAGCTGCCAGAGTTCATCTTTTTCTATAGTTTATTTGAAACTACTGTACAAAGTGTAAATAAGCTGATTCATTTTGTCCTTTGTTCTCATCTTTGTTTGGAATTCCTCAGCTACTTTCTTTTTTTACCCTGCATAATGACTCTGTATTTGCTTTAGAAGTTACTGCATTCCAAGAATTGGGATCACCCTGTCTGTACCATTCCAGGGTATATAACCCTCTCTCTGCACCATTAGGAAACCCTCCTCAGACTACATAGGAAGGGTGGGGCTGCTTTTGATCAGACATCAGAAAACAGACAGCTGCATTTAAAAAAATGGCAATATCATTTAATGATCATACTACAGTTAATACAATCATTAATTATGAACTCATGGCACTGTTCTTGTCACATTATGAGCATAGATATTGGATAATGATACAAATGGTCTTCTGGAGTTTAGGAGCCACTGTTTGAAAGCTGCTATTTTATTTTTTGTACATATTTTTATATTTACAGGTTTATTATTTTAAAAAAACACTTTAAAGGATACAAATAAAAAAGTAGATGAAGAGTTATGTAAGGATACCACTGAGTTCGGCCCCCTTCCAAGTGCAGGAATGTGTTCTTATTCACCTTCCTAGAAGTCCTTGAACTTAGTCCTTTTGGGTTTTTTAAGGAGGTTTCAGATAGTAGGGGATGACTGAATCATTGGCATTGGCCTCTTCAGCCTTCAGGCTCTCCCCTCCCAAGAGTCCCTTCCAACCCTCTGAGCACACTGATTGGTTCTCTTGGCAATGAGCCTCATCTCCTGCCTCCTATGGTTATCTAGGAACTTTCTAAAAATCACCTCATTAATATAAGCTCGGATGTGTTTGAACAAGGCTGTCTTTTGCCTTTATCACTGTGGAGTGTTGGGAATCAAGGTCAAAAGGCCACATATTTTAACAAAAGACACTCACTTAGGACATTTCAAGGATTACAGCAGCTGTAAGCCAGGATCCATGTATGAAAACCAAAATACAGACATTCCTTGATCTACTCTAGG